CAGGCAAAACTTGAGCGCACGTATGAAGCTGGACGAAATCAATTCGATAGCCTCAGTTTATTATCCTCTGAACAGGGCTTAGGTTCATTAGAAATCGCTCCAAGGCAGTACATAAAAAGGTTTATCGTTCAAGACATGCAGTCTTTGACACGTGAAAGCTGCCCAAGAAACAAACCAAATGAAATTCATCACTACTACTTTACCGTTCACTGTCTCGATTTTGTCGTAAGCATCATCCTCCGTTTCAGACGAGGTAGCTCATTGGGTATATTCAAAAGTACGAGCAGTTCACATTCACTGACACGAGAAGTGATTCAGGCTGCAATGCTGAACCGCAAGAAAATCAACAAATCTTCACAAACAATTCTTTCATTCCCGAGTCCATCGAAAAACACGCACATATGCCGGACGATATCGCATTCGAAGGCTTGTTGTTTGCATGTTTTTCGTTTTAAATTTTATTTCCTTCGACTGTGTTGAATGACTTCGATTGAATTGTGCGCTCCTGTGCGATAATTCTATAAGTCATATCAAACTGATCGGGCAATTTTTTGACCGACTGACGACTTTTTTCAGTGATCTATTAGAACCCTTTCAGATGCGATTTCTTCCTCGATCGTTGTCGATTGATGACGTGATGAAGTTGGTCGATACAGAAGAGGGTGATATTCTGGTGCTGACCGAGCTCGTTCGTGATGAAAGTGGTATTTCAGGGTCGTCGGAAACTAGTGATACCAGTGGTAGTCAGGTACTTTTCCAATCCACTCAAATCACAGTTGTATGTTTATAATCTCAAACCCCAGTTGTATGTTCACAATCCAGTCTGAACAATCTGTGCAAAGAATATTCGAAAGTCCGATAAGCTAAAGATGTCAAAATTGAAAATGGAAATCATTTTTGATATGTGATAACATCGAGAATTTCTGTATCACTGTTGCTTGAGCGCATCGAAGAGATGTGAAAAATGGATAAACTGCGAGTATGTAACATTACCGAGAATGAGAATGTGCTTATCAAGTTGGCGAGCTTTCGGATTGAAAACGGATTGGTTCGAAATAGATTTCTATTAAATGCGCATCAATTGTTCAAAATGGATGGATGGATACGCGTAACAATTAATTATAATGCGCTGATTATGATCGATGAACTGTTTGAGGGATGACGGGCGCAATGAATGGATAGCCAGCTAGCTAAAACATTTGCGATATAATACTTTCGCTAAGAAGATATTGTTGTGGATATGAGGGGTTGTTCGATAGAGCTCTACAAGTTTGTCTGGAATATTGACGCGTTAAGTCAATCTGTGATAGAGTGCTAGGTCGCATTAGAACAAGAGTGGACCTATGAAAACGAGCGAACTGGCGCATGCATGAGACACTCGTCATTCCTCGGGGAACGTCTCTCGGCGATCGCTAACGTATTTCCCTACAACTCCATCAAGTTGTGTCATTCTGACAAGGTCATCTTCATATCGCTGCAAATATTCAATCGCACAAATGTTGATAGGACTGGCTATGTTATTGACGCGGCTTATGCGATTTTTTTCGAACGCACTGCCCCAGTACTGAAGTAGGCAACATGTACTCAAAATGTTGCTAACATATTGAAAGGAAGGAAGCGATCGTTTGCTACAGCGTAACAATTTAATATTGCAAACTTGACAGTGATATTGATATCGTTAAATAGCTCCGAAACTCGCTTGATTTCTGCCGTAAAGCAGTTAAATTGCACCAATAACAGTGATAATGACAGCCGAATCTCATCCATTCACTGAAACAGATTGCTACTATAAATGAGAAAATCGAATGCAAATTGTTGTGCACTCTCATTTTCTGTCGACACCGTATTACAATGTCAAACNCCCACTGCTCTATCGCAATCATCAATATCAGTTCCTATGGCTTTATCAACTTCATTATCGAAGGTCTCCTTTAATGCTACATATGTATAACTAATGTTTGAATGTTCAACATGAATCTTAAGACAGTTTTAAAATCGCAAAAAAACCCGTCAAAGTTCGATGGATGATAATGTCTTGATACGAGTGTTTCTGAGGTGGCAAAACAATTCACGTAGTATCATGACTGCAAATTTCTCCATGATTTAGTGCGTAACCAGTGAGCTACTAGGAATGTCTGTTTAGAACATATTGCTTGATCGTGATTTGAAGCTGAAGATGATCTGCTTAGCTATTAGCTGTCACACTCAACTCGCCTGGGAACCGAAATTCCAATAATTCTTTTTGCAAAAATAAGCGAACGTGTTGAATGAGTTTAAATAGCAAAAAAAATTAGGGAGAGATCATTCAATCAGCAATGATCACAATTCATTGCGAGCATATGTTTCTCCGGCAACACTTTTGATGTAAATTCGACTGCTAATGTTCAGGGTGTATTCGGAGCACCACCAGATCCCACCTCAGTAACTCTGGCGACAACTTTGGCTCAAACTCTGTCCTTGAATGAAATCGAGGCGATGGAGGAGATCGAAGACCGTATATTGCTCGGTCGTGCCACTGATCTCATCAACAGTACTGCTGTGCATTTCCGTTCGAGGTAGCATTTCATTTGGTCACCAAACGTTACCACTTTCAATTCTGCTCGATCCTTAATTCGCAAAACAGCTTCAATTCCTTCATTACCTCTGCATTCTCAGTGCCGTTTAATTCGCAAAATGATCAGAACTGATTGTATCATTTCGTCCATTTTCATCTTGTACAATGTATCCTCATCATATTCTTATCCCAAAGAGGCTATTATCCTACGTCCATTATCTTACCTAGGTGATTCGCATGCATGCAATCATCGAACGATGCTCCTTGCCGTAAATCCCCATGAGAACTATTTTTTGATTCCCTTTCTCCAGAACAATATTGAAGTTTCGAGGCTTTCAAGGTGGTATTATAAGCGAACATCTGCTGCTATACATCGATTTGCTCTGCAAACCACTATCCACCGTGGATGAGATTCATGAATGAGCCCAAATATTTCTTCACCATTTGCTCACATTTATAATCCTTTCAACATTATTCACTCGGTATATCTATAATGGAATACCGTTTTCCACGAACCGTATCATCTGATCGCTATTCTCCAATAACGCAAAATTTATATCGAAAAGTGACATTCATTTAGGTGGCAAAAATCGAGATAAGCTCACGCAGATACTTTCATATTCACTTCCTGTCTACGGATCCAAGTGGAATTATAATCCTTTAATTAGCTGGGTCGTAATTGAAGCCTTATGCGCTATTGATATCTGAGATTGCCGCAAATTTTGTCGAATGATGGTGCAATTTTTGAGTCCTAGTGCACCAGATGAATTTAGAGCGAATCCAACAATGCAATGAATCACTGCAATAATGTTTCTGCATTTCAACACTTTCGAATAATGTGTTCATTTTTATTTTGCAGCGTTCATGATATGCCGCATCGATTCTCTTGCACTGCTTCTGGGAATGCATTAAATCACGCAAAAATAAGCACAATCCCAATGCCAATAACTCTTATGACATCATCGAGCATAAAAACTTCAAAATATCGATAAATAGCACTATGAAGACATCTAAAGTTTTGATTATAATTTAACAACGTTAACATTACAATGTGCCGAATAAACGTCGATGATATTGCTGAATAAACTAGAGGAAATCTGCAACTCGCACTGCAGCAGATCTACCCAAAAAATTGAAACGCTAAGCATCACTGATGTACCGGATAACACTCATTCGATCCGGAATTCCAATACCTCCGTTTCACATACCTATTTTTGATTCTTAACGGTCTTTTATTTGTTCGTTTCACGCGAATGCTTTTTCGTTCAACCACTACTTGTTTGGTTTTATGAAAACGTGATGCTACGGGCAATAAGTGGCCGTTTTGAAAAGGTCGTTCCATATTCTGGTTAGCATTCAGTTGGCCTGAAATTTATTTCAGATTAAGTTTAATACCTGAACAACACAGTATTATTGACGAATGTGATGAGCCGGATGAAGACGACGATACTCGCCCATTGGAGACTACATTCGATAATAATCACTCGGAGAGCCCCACTGATTCAAAGTTTGTTGATTTTGTTCAAATATCAGTGAACTGTGTTGACTGATGAAAACATAATCAAACATTTTCCAGCTTATTTTTCGGTTCATTTTGGATCAGTAAAAACTATTCCGCCAATTTACTAACGGCTGAATTGTTGTGGGAATTTTGAATTCTGTACAGCATTGAACCGAGACATTTCTCATCAACTGGTTTTGTGGCATTTGCGACAAGATAATTTTGTTGTTTCCCAATTGCTCTAAATGTTCATCTGATGTCATTTTGAAATATTCCGATCGGTTAAGTTGAAGCGACCATCATCCAAACCTAATGACTCTAATCGTAAAGCTAAGCGTCACCATAAACGATGTTTTCATTTTGAACCGTAAATGATGTTTTTGCACTGAGATTTATGTGATTAGCAGCATTCATTTATTTGAGTGTCGCTGTTTGTTTGGAATTTTTTCCTCAAAACTCCAATAAAACGATTTTTTTGCAAATCGTTTTTGAGTCATTGTTTGCAATGATTCATTTTTTTGCAGTAATTTGCTCTGATATCTCGGCATGGCGATTTTCGTCTGGTGGAGAATAGTCGAAAGAGAGCGGCTTGAGCGTGTGATGGTTTTACCGCTGAACGAGTTTGCAGGAGGATTCGTTCCGCTGAAGCTAATAACCGCTCGATAGGTACCTTTATTGGAAATTTGTTCAGTGGTGCTCGTGAAGGACGTCGACGGTCTAACGCTAGCAATAATTCGAGTGGATCCTAAAATACCAAACGACAGGACAGGATTTCATCGCATTTTCGTCTATTTGACATTTCTTCTTGTTTCAGTGATTAATGTTGTTTATTCCATCCCGAAAGCATGTTTTATTTTTTGTTTTTAACAGCTGCAACAATCAATATGCCTCAGTCGTCAATGTCAGACAGAAGCATCTCGAATGCTGACAATCTGGCGTCGAAGAAGTATTTGTGTGTTTATTTGCACACTGCGTAGTGGAAGTGTTCTAATGGAAAATTGTTATTCGGTCATGGAAATCGCCTGGTGTTTCCTTGACAGTTTTGTTGTGAGCATTTTGCGAATTTTGTCGTCGTGTTGATAAGTTGTTAAACAAGAATTTGAGAGTAGCGAAATGTGTTGATAAGAGACTAATGAAGTGAATTGTTTGTTCTGTAAATATTGTATGTTGTTGAATGTGTGTTTTTGTTGTGATCAAGTTCAACTGAAACAGTGTAAATGCTCACTTGTATCACCATCATCTCACTGCCAATCATAAACATTTTACTGAAAAATGCATCATCGGTTTCATCCCCTTAACCTCGACACTGTTCCATTACCTTTTCACACTCACTTATTTTACGTCCAACAACTCTAACAGCTCATCAGCCTATCACTCCCACGACCAACTCACCTGCATGCATTACACCACAGTTTCAAACAGAAAACCCTGCTTTTAACAAATTTGCTTAGGCTCAGTTCTTGAGACGAATCATTGCGGCCGGAAAAACCGCTAACATAAGAGGTGTCAAGTACAATCCATCACAGCCTGAGACTTTGAACACTTATTCTCTGAAGGTGTAAAGGATGCGCAATAAATGATGAACGGGTTGGCGTAGCATTTTACTTTTGCGTCTGCTGTTCTTTCCACAATTCATCGCTCTTGAACGACGATATACAATCATCATACTGCGCACTTATGAGTCCTTCCTGCTCACATGCAATGTGATTGTTTCGGTGTCATTCTTCTTGAGAACGTGAAAACAGTAATGTCAGTAATTTATAATGATAAGATTGTTATGTAATGGAATCAGTACTTTCAGTTTCGCATGCAATTGTATCCAACTGATAATGAACACATACAAACATTTATTCGAGATTAACACATTTATCTGATCATACTCTCTCAATATACACACATAAATGAACACAGACAGCATTTTGTTATAACGGAATCGAGTGAAATAAGTTTAGAATCATTACAAATGGTTATTCATATTCATATACCCGCATATGGCTAACTGCAGAGTGACCGTAACACACATTAAAACATCAGTCAGCATAATACGTTCAAGTACAACTGGGAGCCATTTGATATCATTGCGAGAACGGGATTAAAATTGCCTCAAAAACCGTTCATTAGAAATATTCCGAGAGCAAAGGTGATCACAACATATAACAGATGATCAATGAGAAAATTTTCGGCGCCTCAAGTAATTTGTGTAGATTCTTCAGTAAATTCTCAGCTGTTATTGTTTGGAAAGGATGAATGCCTCGAAAAGACGATGTTTCTTGATACTGGACTCATTAGAAAGTTTTGATCTATTAGAAAACTGCCTGCTGAGTTCTTTCGTGAAAGTACATCATGATACTATCGATCCACTGACATATGGAACCATCTTTAAGTGAAGATTAAATGGGTAATACCCAAAGCATTTAAATATTCCCAAGCAGTTAGTCATTCACAACAACCAGTTCCTATGCTTCCAAAAATCCAGTGCAATCGGTTGTGGGTTCTCTTCCGTATGAGGCAATTTGAATAAAGAAGATGGCAGTGAAGCGAAATTATTAGATTCGCGTGGTATTTTCTCAGTATAAGGCACGTCGTTTCTCGAATATAATCTCGAAGCTTTCAGTCGTAAATTGCTTGAATCATGCAAACGCTTGATTATCCTTGCCATTAGCTGTCCTCACTTGAAGTTCATTGTCATTAGACGTAGTTGATCCTGTTCGATCGACAAAGCCTGAAATAATCAAAATATCAAAGAAAATCACTCTATGCCATACAGTCCAATCAAAATCATTCAGTATTAATCAACAGAATGGTGCAAGATTGTGGTCTAGACTCAATCAAAACAGTACTTCACTTACCCATTTCTTTTTTGAACCGTTCATGGTCACTAACGAAATATGCGGCAGCAACAATATAAAGCACTGCGCTGATTACCAAAATCACGTTTGGAATATAGAACGCTTTAACGAGTGCACCGAAATGACTGGCTGGAGACGAGTTCGTCCCTCGAATCGAATCTGAGACCTAAAATAATTCATTCGAACCTTCGTTGTGTCAAGCATCGACTGTGTGATCAATCTATAGAGTTGCCATCGTTTTATCGTCGGAATTGACAAGAGAGTGTAATTAGAGATAAAGTAATTCATCATCAGAATGTAATTTGGACAGTTTGTTGATGTTGTGCATTTTGAAAAACGATAACTCACCAATCCAACAATGTACGGTCCGGATGCATCACCGAGTAAATGTGATATAAGAATTTCCCAAGAATTTGCAACACTCCGCCTCTGTGGTGTTACAACATCCTGCAATAATACTATACTTAATGCAACGCGAGTACTACTTCTATGCTAGTTGAATGGATAATTGCCGTGTCTTACATTCAAGAAAATATCAATATGTATCAGTAGTAGAACAAGAGAAAAATTTTTAATTTACCAAAAGAATTTCCACATTTATTGACCAATTCAAGCAAATGGCTATGATCGTAAAGAATATGAAAACCTGAAATTTTGAAACATTCAAAGGAATTATATTTACAGATTACACTAAGAGATTCACGCACTTATACATCACTGAATGCTTCATGTGATGCAATTCATGAAGATTCTCCCAATTTTACGACAGCATTGTGAGAAAGATCTGAATGTGTTTTTTGGAAAAATGATCGTGAAATCATGCAATAAAGCTTTTTTTCGTGATCTCTACTGATGCGGTATAAGTTGATCGCAGGAGAATGCCGCTTCAACAAATTCAGATGTTGCATAGAAGAAATCTGATGATCACTCAAATGTATGACTGCTTACCCATGCTAAAGTCATATTGACTAGTATAAGATGAATACCCAAAAACAAACACGGTATTCCTACTGCTGATCCAAACGCACAAACGTAAGCATTCGCTCGTGGTGTCTTTACGAATTTGAAGCAGCATAAACCCCTTGACCAAAGCTGAAAATTACGCCTGTTGGAATTCTTA